TCAACCAACTGAACAACAGACAGATCAAGTTTGATTCAGGCGGCTATGTATCAACAGGTTGGACCATCCCAACGTTGATACAAGTGAAAGCAATACAAACAAGTGCAGAAGAACACAATGTAAATTTAGTTGAACTTATACAATGACATCCTGTGAAACGACAGTCAAATACACACTCACACCTAACAGACTAATCCTCCCAACTGTTTGTTTCTAGATTTATCCCCAGTTAATAAAACCCCAAATATAAGCAAGGATAACACTCATCCTCATGTAAAACAAGAGAAGCACTATTACATTTTGAAAAGGTGGAGCAGCTACCCAAATCTCTCTAGCAGGAACGAAGCACCACCACATCTAATCCTTCTTCTTATCTTTCAGTGGTCCTCGTGGAATTTTACTCAAAACCTTTGCATCAAACACGGCATATTGCTTCTTGATCTCGTGCATTGCTTTCTCGGCTAATGGATCCACTTTATCTTCATATTTCTCATAAAGAACAGGAATTGTGTGGAGGAGCACAAATGCTGCCATATTGGAAGGAGCATCAACAAAATGAGAACCAGTGACAAAAAGGAAATAAAAGATACATCTATGCAACTTCTGAACTTACATATATAGAACAGTGTCAAAAAGTTGCACCAGCTACCAACAATTGAGAGTATCCACAAACCAGCAATGACCTGGTAACATGGGCAAGTTTTGGTAAGTAAACAAAGGTGAATGAACGCCAAAGAAATTTCACATATTTACTCTTTTGTGCTATCATACAAGATCAGAAAAAAAAAATTATGCTAAAGAAAAATGGACACAAGCACCTTTGGTAACTTATTTCACAACAGATTGATATCATGAACCTTTGGAGTGTTGAATTTGGGTAAACCACAAACATGGTAAAGAACAATTTAGCCTCTTATCTGGCATGAATGGAACAGGCAAAAAATCTCGAGACATTAGACATACTCTAAAGCTACATGTCCTACTATGTTAACTAATGTCTCTAGAAACTACAACAGAACCTAAATACTGTCTACCAAGTCAGGATCAATACGAGGAGGGGGTAGTTTGCATCCAATGCAGGTCTGCTAGATGGGGGAAAGCAGACATATATAAGGTGAAACACAAAGGGGGATGAACACCAAACAATCTCCAGAGGTGGATGAAGGAAGGCTTAATGTCACATTAACGGACATCACCAATTACAGGAAACATTCCAATAAACTACACTCAGGGAAGAGCAACGGGAATGGGCATACTTACAGCAAGAAACTTCTTCAGTTCTCTCCCTGACGCAATTTCTCTCAGTAGATCAAGAGCGCGATTAATTTCGATCCTCAGGGCAGAAGCCACCTGAAGGATGGGGCCCTCTGGAAGGTGGACTTCTGGGATATGAGGAGGTTTTCTGTCAAAATGATAGAACCACATCCTCAGAAGAGTGTTAACATAAATTGAAGAAGAAGTTGAACTAAGAACTGGATCAGCTTACTTGTTAATAAAGGTGGTTGCATTTGACCATAAGAACAAAACTGCAAGAGTGATGATCAAAATGTGACAGATTAAAGTGAGCAGGTGGTACTCAAGCAATTCGAAAAGAACCCAGATAGCAGTTGCTCCACCAAGTACAGTACCAGATATCTTTTTGTTCCTCCACAAGAATACATCAGCAGCTGCAACAATAAGATGCACATTCAATCAATCACTCAACTATGCCTCAATCACAATTTAATTGGCACCACCAATCAGATACTTATTCAAACAATACTAATATACATGAAAAGCATCCATCAGCTCAATTTAGATCAGACAAAGAACTCACGGTCCCTCAGTTGACCTAAACAAATCCAGATGTAAGAGCAAAAGCTCTTTTTTTTGGGTAACCCTTTTTCAAATGACAATTTTTTTGTATCTGAAGATACTTCCTAAACTCTAAGCCGTAATTAGCTCCTTCACCACCAATCATTTTAAACCAAATATTCCAATCCTTCAATATATAACTAATCAAACCAAGGATATTATAGGTAGCTCATGCTCTAAACAAACACGTATACAACCATTATAATAAGTTTAGCAGATCTAAATATTCTTCAAGAAGCCTAAACTTTAGTACAGAGATTCAAGACCTCAACCACCAATCATTTTCTTTTCAAAAAATTCAATCTTAAAACCTAAAATACGTAAAATTCGAACTCTTGTTTGCTCAATTGACTTAAAAAAGCATCTGCACGAGCATGATAATTCATTTGGATCTGAAGATTCATTAAACCCTAAACCTTCATCAATTCCTCAACCACTAGTCACTTCAATTGAAACTCCAATAGTTTAACACAACTATATGGACTTAGATATTCATCAAGGTCCCGGGAAAAAAACATATCCTTTAAGATCCGCCAAACACCCAGAACCCGATCAAATTCAGCAACCACCAACCACACTTGGATCAGAAAAAAAAATTCAATCTTCACAATACAAAAAAGCACATAAGTGTAAAATATTTGAACTCTTGATCGCTCAGTTGCTGTTAAGAAACACGTTTCTGAACCTGAATATTCTTTACGATCCTCACAAAACCCTGAAAACCCTCTCAACCACCAAATCCAGAATTTTCAGTCTATAAAGAAATAAACATAGAAAAGCTCAAGTAAGTAGAGAAACAGATAATAGAACCATACGTTTGCCTCCACCGAAAACCTTGTGAACCGGTTTTTCTCTTCCAAATAGCCTCCAAACTTTGTTCTTCAACGTCTCCGGCTCCGGCTCCGCCTCTACCTCCGATTTCACTACCGGCTTCTTCGTCTCGGTATCTGATTCCGACGACGATGAGGAATCGTCACCGTGAAACTTGTCGGCGATCTTCTCCATCAACGACTCCCCTTTAGGATCCGAATTCTCAGCGTGCTCGGCCATTTTCTGATTCAGAGCTCCGATTCAATCAACCAAAGCAGATATTTTCAAAGACTGAGAGAGTGAATAAGAAACGACTGTATTGCCGAGAAAATTGTGTAACGATTGATATTTATGTTTTTGAAAACGGTGAAGTGAACGAGGGATGTCTCCGAGCCTCAGAGGCTCGGCTTTCCGAACCTAAATTTAGTTAATTTTGAAATATGCCCCTCCCTTTTTTTCCGTCCAAAAATAGAAAAGAGATTATAGAAATTTGTACTTCAATGATGCATCGTAAATAAATAAATAAATCTAAAATTCAGTCACATATTTCAAGATTAAGATTGTTCATAAGCTACACTATTTTAATATGTCAAGAATAAAAAAAACAATTAATTATCTTCTCTTATATAAGTAAACCTTTTGCATTATTATTTTAATATCTCGAGAGTAAAAAACCAATTAATTGTCTTCACTCAAATCTTTTGCATGTATGTGATTTTTATATTAATTTTGATGCGAGTTTGCGGGATGTTTGGTTTGAGTCATAACTTTATTGAAAATAATTTTTTTATTCTATAATAATGAAAATAAAATTTATATCTTATTCTATAAAAAATGAAATATAAAATTTATATATATCTCATTTATGAGAGGGGTGGCCGACTAGTGATGAATGAGGGACACGTGTCGGAGGAAAGTAGGACTTTTGATGATTTGGCGGTGGAGATTGGACTTTAGTAAAGCATTGTGGGCTCCACGTTACCTGGAGATCAGATTGAGAAAGTAACACCAATACTGTTTTTCTCTAATTTATTATTGTAAAATTTTCCCCTTTTTCTCGTTTTTCTTGTAGTAGAGTAGTACTCTTTTACAGCATGTTGCATCTACAAACTATAATAAACTATACAAGAGTGAAAATTGAAAAGGTAAAGAAAAAGAGAGAGAAGAAAGCAAAGAAAACTATATAAAGAGAGAAGAACAGCACAAAAGTGCCAAAATGGTCCCTTAAAAGTAGGATGGTCACAATTTTATAACAAGTGAAAAACAATAATATATTTGGTGTAATTTTATAAAGTAAAATTTCGAGAAGATAAGTGGAGACATACCTTACCCCTATCTTAGAGGTAGATAGATTGTCTTTGATAGATCCTTGGATCAATTAAACACAAATAAAAGCATTTTGGAAAAGAAATAATATAAATAACATACATCACGAGTCACGACACCTTTTTTTTTAATCAATGCATCCATACCTAAACATAAACAAAATTAGACTAGTTGATCTCTGATGCTATCCCATCACATATGAAAAGGGCACCCAATTGGGGTAGGGGAAACATGTTAGGAATTGCAAGTGAAGAATTAAGCTTTCACCAATATGTAAAAGTTCAGGTAAACAACCAACTTGGTTTTAAAACCATATATGAAAAAAATTAAAGAATTCAATTCTAGTAGTAGTATCTTTGGAATTTGATTTATCTTTGCCTATTTGTTCTAGCACTTCTCAATTCTCACTTTCTTTCAGTCAGGTCACATTTACAAATTAGGCCCATCCAAAATAGTGTTATGATCCGGCCCACTATGTTTGAAGAAACTAATACAACTGATGGTCCAGATTAATGCTTCTGAATGGGCCTTCTACGTATCAAAATCGTTTTTATGGCTTTATGCAATGGACCAAATTTGCTGCTAGCTGCTAAGGAGTTCTTAAAAATGAAACTTCGTGTGCATTTACTTTCGAAATGCTGAGTAACTCAAAGTTACTGTTTTCCGGTAAATAGAAAGAAATCACCTATTGTTTTTGTCACCTAAGATTCAAACTTTTCTCTCACACAATTTTCACTCACTTTATTGACGTTAGGCTACACCTTTGGGCCTTTTTCAAACTTATAGCTTTAGTAGTTTATTATTCGAGCTTCTTCTTTATGGAATTACATAAGATATTTCATAGTAATTTGTAAATCAAATACATCAAGTATCGTCAATGTTGATCGAAGTAAACTATTGCCAATATTACAGCTAAAAAATCATCACATTGACGAAAAGACATCTTGGTTTTATATTAGTACAACAATTATTGGTAACATTGTAATGTACTGACAATTTTCACAGTAAACTCACATTGTATCCTATCTATTGTTGGATCAAAATGTATAAAATCGACGAACAAAATCAGTACCAACATTATTGTATGAAATAAAAATAATTCATCGGAAAGGTCTTGGTGGTTTTTCTAGCACTGCAGAGAAAAACACTTCACTATCATCTTTATCTAGCTTAGGAACAACAAGCCACTTATGTTGTTTATACCTGAGAATCTTGAATGCCTCTAAATAATCATTCAATTCTTCCTTCAAACAGAAAAAACTATCAATCCATATAAGTCCACCAGGCCTCAAAACTCTATCAAAGTCATACAACACGAAATCCAGGAGCACAAAATCAATCCATCCATCAAGAAACCTCGTCGTGTGAATCAAATCTAGAGTGTTATCGAAGAATGGTAATCTCTGATTTATCGTCATGTAAAGAGGAATTAGCCCTCGAAGAGCAATCATCTCGTTGAATGGTGCACCGAGATTAATTGTTGCAGAAACTATAGTCACGTTGTGTTCTCTCATTCTAGCAGCAAATGTGCCCGTGCCAACGCTGAAATCCAGTCCAATTCTGATCTCTCCAGGCTTCAAATTAAGCACTTCTGTTATCAATATATCAGCTGTCATTTTTGAACTCGAGTCTTGATATGAATGAACAATCCATCTAGGAGATTCATGATGTGTAAGATTGAAACAATCTGTGCATTTGAAAAAACCTTTTACACTTGAATTTCTAGCCAAACAAGTGAAATTTTTGCATCTGTATTGACTCCATCTAACATTTTTGTCATCAGGTAACTTCCAAATTGATTCATTTATGGGATATGGTTTATTGTACAATTGAGGAGCTCTAGCAAAACATCTTCTTCTAGGTAATGGATCACATCCATGAACCATAAGTTTCTGTGCTAATCTCCAATCATCATTACACATTTCGCCAACGTCATAATCCATGTACTCTTCCAGCTCCGATTTCATGGAGAAACAAGCATGACCTATGCTAGTAAATGTACCATTAGCACCCATAAAGTTCTGTTTTTTCAACCTGTTTGGTTTAATCCTCACGTATTTTCGAATTTCTTCAGTTAAGAAATATTCAGCAGGTTCATTTACCTGTTCTGTTTGTCTTGATAAGGAATGTAACACTGCTCCAGGTTCACTATTTTGTACTAGTGAACTCTGTACTGATTCAACTAGATTTAAAATATCTGCTAGAAAAATTGCCTGTTTTCCGAAAACTTTTTCATTTGGCAGCTGTCGCAAAATGTCAATCTCATACTGGATTTTCTGGATTACAGTATCCAGTGTTAAATCGACGTGGTGATTGATAGTACAAGAGTTGATTGAAGTGTTACAGTTGCAGAAGGAATTCGAAGCTAGAAAAGATCGAAAAGAATAAATTTTGGAGAAAGTAGCCATACATATAAGAAGAGCAAGTATACAGAGTATGAAGATTAACCTGTGTATCCCTCTCCATGCTCCCAATTTCTTTATCAGATTTGATTTACGCATCTACTCTTAGTACTATCGATAAATTCCTCTGCAAAACTTGAACAAATTATAAATGTGGCAGCTAATCAAGAGAGAAATGATTGAAGCAATTTCAACAACACTTTCTTGAGTAATTATAATTAATTATATGAAGATCTTGAGATCAGAGTCCACATGTTGCATTAACTTAAGATGTACTCTTCAGGTTCTTGGGAGAAGTAATTTTTCCTTATCATTCCGCATTATCAGCAAAAAAAATTTAAAACTTAACTAACTCTGAAGTCACATTATAAAAATGTTTAATGTCATAATCAGAGACGGATCAAAGGATGTTAAGTCTATAGATGTATAAAATTATCGCGGCTTGAGAAAAATTCCAACGTATATTTCGATTAGTCAAAGGCGCAATAGCCACCTGTTGCCAAAAGGCTGCATTTGCTACTACTAGTGGTAGCTTGTTTGTTGGTGAAAGTGCATTTCTCACAAAGAAAGTCAGTACTAACAAAGTAGAAATGAAGTTTGTAACAAATAAAAAGCTGAGAATGCCATGTTAGATTTCTTAAACTAGCATATGATTAAAAGTAAGACAAGTGAATAGTGAAAAGTGGCAAGTAAAAGGAGCTGCATTTCAATGTGATGGAGAGTACTACAGTATACAACAAAATAACATATCTTGTATAATCTCATAACTGAGAGTGGAGATGATAGGATCTAGCATACTTTACTTTTACCTTTGCGAGTTAGAGAAGTTGTTTCGATAGACCCTCAACTCAAAAAAGCGGGAAAGTAGGAGAGAAAAAGAGACAACACAGTAACAATACCTAAAACAAATATAACAACAAATATTAGTAATACACATTGGATAAAAATACTAACGATACCTAAATCATACTACTAAAAATACAACAACACTCTACTATATATCTTTCTTCCTAATCCTCGACCTCCATAGTAGACAAGATGAAATATGAAAGTCAACAGTGCAATATATTTATATTGGAAAATAGAAGAGGGACATGGCATAAAAGAATAGCAGTATACTAGACAAAAGTGACACCAATCCCAAATGTAAATCTTGAAAGTCTTTAAAGAAATGAGAGAAGGAGAAGAAGGAGGTTTTTGTTTCTATATTTCTTTTAGTAGCTCTAGAGGTGTTATTGGAAAAATAAAAGGCAGAGCGCATCTTCATATCGTTCAATGTGCATGGAAAAAATGCATTCACAAAGACCAACCAAAACTAAAAAAAATAAAGCAGCCATCAAAAGTTCATTGAAAGCCCATTTTAAGTCCCACCTCCTATTCTCTTTATGACTGGAAATTGGAATACACCTTTAATCTCCTTTTTTTTTAAAAAAAATTATAATTAATTTTATTACTGATATTGCTATGCCAGATAAGGAATTTGATTCCTTTTTTTTAAAAAAAAATTAACTTTTATTACTAATAATTTTTGCTGTGCCAGAGAAGGAAATTTGATTCCCCCATATTAGTCATCACATATATTAGAAAATCCCAAATAAAAGTGGCTTTCTTTGAGTTTGGTTATAAATGTCACATGTCTGCTTTGGGTCGATGATCATGTGATACTCACTTCGTTACTGAATAATTGGTGTGTTAGATGGAGTAATTAGGAAGAATTAATAGTGTTCTTTCAATTTTATTCTATTCTTCCTTAAATAAAGAAAGTTTTACATAATCAAATAATTATTAAAGAAGTACATCTTTTTTACTAGATATTTATTAAAAATAAATTAATTTGGTGTCCAAACTAAAAACAATCATTTATTTAGAAACGATGGAGTAAGGGTTCTTTCCTAGCCACATAGAGATGTGGCCAGTTATACAGAACATGAAGAAATGAAGGGATAGCGTAAAAATCTAAACCAAATTATTCTTGAATTAGATTGAAATAAGAATTTGACCAAAGGAATTAAATTATATAGAGCTTAATTTCACCTTTTTTCTAACATAAATAAACTTAAATTATGCCACTGGAAATTCCCATATTGTTATGCTTGATATTCTCAATCATCCATTCTATGTAATCAAGACAAAATAATCACAACACCAAAGTAAATTCCACCTCTAAGAAATGATTTAACCCTAATAGTAAAAAGGGCAAAAATGAAAAATTTAAGTTCCCAAAAAGGTGACTAATTTGACCCTAATAACTAACACTTTTTACACTTCCAAATTGCCGAAAAAATCAATCAACATTCCAATTATCATACTCTTCGCCGGCCATCGGAGTACTGAGAAAGAGGGACGACCTCCGACAACGGAGTAGATAACGGCGTCGGCAACGGCGAATTCCGGCAAACCGGGCACGAAGCATTCAATTTCAACCACGCGTCTAAACACATAACATGAAAATAATGCTTACAGTCCGGCATCATCCTCAGCATCTCTCCATCCTTATACTCACACAAGCATATGGGGCAAACGACATCGTTTCCGTTTCCACTTCCGCCGTTCCTTTTGGAGTAAATCAGCTTCGGGTACGAATTAATAACAACTTGATCAAGCCCCAACGTTGCGTTTTGTGATAATCCGTCGTCGTTTTCTTCATCATCTTCCGCTACGAAAATGATACGGGGAAGGTAAATTCCATTTTCGATGTTGTTGTTGGGGTTTCGCGAATTAGCTCGAGCCTGACGGCGGCGACGGCGAGCGGCGGCGGAACGGCAGCAGATGTAAGAAGCAAGGAGGACTGTAGAGAGAAGAACAAGGAAACCGAGAGCTATGGCAATTGCGTAGCCGAGGCCGATGGTGCTGAGGTTCTGAGAAAGGGTGTAGGTAGAATCGGGTGGGGCGATGGTTACAGGTGGTGGTGGGGGTGATTGGCGGCGGAGGTCGGAGGTGGACATTGGGAAGGGAGAGAAGAAGGGTTGAGAAGGTCCATGAGAAGAAAAGGAGGGTTTAGGGGTAGTGAGGGGGTGGGTGGGTAGATTAAGTGCAGTTGCAGCTACGGCATTTAATGGTGTAGTTTGGAAAACAGAGAAGGTCATTTAATGGACAACATGGGGGGGCTGATGATGATAACAATTGCCCTCTACTTTTCTTGTTTAATTTCTCTCTTTAGTCTTGGTTCGACCATCAATCTTTTGCACCTCTAATTTCTGCTTCACCAAATTTTGGATCAATTCCTAACCTCTTTTATAATACCTACCGCCACACAAGTATTAGAAACACTCTTTAATTTGATGATGAATTATTAGTTTTTATTTTTAAATTATTTACCGCTTTAAAAATAACCTTCTATATCACTAGGTGAATTTAAATAACCCCTAATTTTGCATAGATGAAATACATTCCTAAATTCTCGTCAATTTTACGGATGTTTTCAACACTTCTCTTGACATTGTTATCCTACACAATAGTAGTATTATGTTAAGCCTATGTATTCTCCAAATATATCATAGTTAATTGATTTAAATCAAATTCACCAAGAAACTAAGTTTGAGAAGTCTGACTATTTATTTACACTTGAGTCATGTAAGGATGGATAGTTAATTGATTTAAATGAAATTCACCAAGAAACTAAATTTGAGAACTTTGACTATTTATTTACACTTGGGTCATGTAGGGATGAATAGTTAATTGATTTAAATCAAATTCACCGAGAAACTACGTTTGAGAACTCTGACTATTTATTTACACTTGAGTATATATTGGAGTTAAATTAATGAGTGATTTGAATGTATTGATTGATATGTGATGTTAAATCCACAAGGTTAGGACTTGATAGTGAAAATCTAATTTTTATATGTGACTTCTGTTAGCTAACATGTTAAATGTTGAATAAATTTATAAATATCTTATTCTTTCAATATACTATAATACCGAATTATCCTACTATATCAAAATATAATTTATATATAAATATTTAAATATCCACTTTTAATTACAATTACAAAATTATCAAATTGAATATCGGACTAATCAAGTATGATAGACCCTTCAAGAGGTAAAGTAAGGGATGGAACTACCATTATCTAAATAGAGTCAATTTGACACACGTTTACTCAATAATTATCATGTAAATAAATTAAATTATATGAATTTTTTCAATGCTCTGAATTTCGTTTGTGAGAATTTTAGTTTTACTGCGAGATAAAATGCTTTCCATAAAATATATATATATATATATATATATTATTATTATTTTTTTATTTTTTTTTCAAAACTCAAATATAAAATACTATTGAAAAAAAAATCCCACCTTTTCACTTATACTCTTGAAGCCTGAAGGTATCAACAACATATTCATGTCTGTTCCAAAAATAAAAATTTAATCTAAAATTTGAGAAAGCAACTAGAAGGAAGGTATTAGGCAGACGATATATCTTCCGGAGTAACCAAACTCTAGGAAAGAGACTATAATTAACGTTGAGAATAAACATATTACGTTAAATGATACAAATCCTTTTTAATAAGCTAAACATAACATCAGAAAAAATTGAATAAAATTACTCTTCTAAAGAGTAAGGCTGATCCGTAACATTGATCATAGAAAAAAAAGGTTTGAGACTTTGAGTTGATGAATATGTGGAATGGTCTTCGTACTAATTCAATGGTCAAAGTGTCAAACATATAGTATTAATGTATTATAATTTATAGTTTTGGTTCTATGTGTTCAATGCAATTTGATAAGATCCCAACATATATATACGGATCTCATAAATTATCTACCTTACTTTCAACTAACTACCATTTTTCTATTTTCTCGATCCAAATTTATTACATAGTTATTTGAGACATGGAAGAAGTAATTTGTCATTTAGGTTTTACATAATTTGATTTATTTTTTAAAATCGCGATAAATAATTTAAAACGGAAGAAGTATTTTGCTATTTAACTTTAATGTAATTGAAATTGACTATCATGCAGAAAGTGTGACGTTAAAGTGAATTCACTTTATAAAAAAGTTAGCTTTAAGCCCGGCTCCTTTGAAGTATTGTTCGTGTCGTATATGAGAATCTGTTTTGAATTCTCTAAATACAGTCTTTTCCTCTCTCTTTTTTCATGAAAAGAGAAAACTTAGAAATATAATGATTATTGAGTCGGGTCTATTCGTAAGAGGTTAATTGACCCATTAACCTATTATCCCACTAGCTTGTCTTCCTCTTAAATTTCACTTCTATATCATTATGCATGTTGAAAAATAGACAAATTTTCAATCATATTATGACAACTAGAAGTTTGCACAAAGAATACAATAATCTAAAGAATATCTAAGACACTTAATTTCCAACTATCGATATAACTCAAAATTATAATTACTATAGATCCA